AGACAGTTAAAACATGCAATGAAGAAAAGCCGTCAAATGGCTTGAATGGAGGAAGAGGGTCGTAGGCACTCTGTATCAAATGCAAGCGATCAATCATCACAACCATCAAGCTCAAGAATCAAGGGCAGNGTAATAATTAGATACATCAATATTTTATAATAATAAATGAGTGGATATAAGTTCTTTATTTTTATATTAAAAATATATGTTCTATTTCAAATTATATAAAATTAAATGTTACAATTACATTTTTTTATATTTAAACTATTTCAATCAATTGCATGTTTCTTATTTAATTATTTGGAATTTGTAACATTGTAGAATGACTCCTAAACAACACAACATTGATTAGGAACACGTAACACCTGTTGGTAGTGATTGACGAATTACAAAGTGCAACTATTGTGGTAAAATAGTTCATAGTGGCATTACTCGAATAAAGCAACATATTGCACATGTATCCGGCCAGGTGGAAGGATGTCCACGTGCACCAAAAGAAGTGTTACAATTCTTGAGACAACATCTCAGTGATTGTAGTAAAAAAAGAACTTCTATTAAAAAGAAAAAAGAACGAATTATGCAATCATTACAAAATAAAGATTGTTACAACCTGGATGACGATGATGATGATGGTGGTGAGAATCAAATTAAATAGGGTGATTTTGAAAGAAGACAGTTAAAACATGCAATGAAGAAAAGCCGTCAAATGGCTTGAATGGAGGAAGAGGGTCGTAGGCACTCTGTATCAAATGCAAGCGATCAATCATCACAACCATCAAGCTCAAGAATCAAGGGCAGACCACTACGTAGCTATAGCGTAAAAAAAGGTGCAAGCATGCCTGTAAGTAGCCTTGATCCGTACATGTTCCCGTTGAAACAAAAGTCAGTAAAATGCATGTTCTCAGGTGCGAACCTGAAAGAAGTGGGAAAAACTATTTCAAAGTTCTTCCTCTTCAATGCTATACCATTTAATGTAGCTGATAGTGGGCCTTACTATTAGTCAATGATTGACACTATTGCGGATGCAGACCCAGGAATAAAGGACNCCGGCCAGGTGGAAGGATGTCCACGTGCACCAAAAGAAGTGTTACAATTCTTGAGACAACATCTCAGTGATTGTAGTAAAAAAAGAACTTCTATTAAAAAGAAAAAAGAACGAATTATGCAATCATTACAAAATAAAGATTGTTACAACCTGGATGACGATGATGATGATGGTGGTGAGAATCAAATTAAAGAGGGTGATTTTGAAAGAAGACAGTTAAAGCATGCAATGAAGAAAAGCCGTCAAATGGCTTGAATGGAGGAAGAGGGTCGTAGGCACTCTGTATCAAATGCAAGCGATCGATCATCAAAACCATCAAGCTCAAGAATCAAGGGCAAACCACTACGTAGCTATAGCGTAAAAAAAGGTGCAAGCATGCCTGTAAGTAGCCTTGATCCGTACATGTTCCCGTTGAAACAAAAGTCAGTAAAATGCATGTTCTCAGGTGCGAACCTGAAAGAAGTGGGAAAAACTATTTCAAAGTTCTTCCTCTTCAATGTTATACCATTCAATGTAGCTGATAGTGAGCCTTACTATCAGTCAATGATTGACACTATTGCGGATGCAGACCCAAGAATAAAGGGTNTTCCAACAATCCTGAGGTAAGATCTGGTTTGAAAGAGGTTATTAAAAGATTGGAACCAGATTTGAATAGACACGCAAGGGCAATGAATGAGGTATGACAATTTTTGATAATTTTNCTTTTTTTTTTTGACTGATTGTTTATATATTTATATTTGCCTTAAAAGTAACATAAAAGTAGTGACTCAATTGGGTGGTGTTACAAATTGAGATGTTGCAAGGTCCCTGGTTTGACTCCTCCAATGCGCCAANTTTATTATAATATGTATATATATTTGTCGCATACGTAATACATTACACAATAAATTGCAGATCAAATTATATTTTGACAAACATGGCAAGTTTGGGAATGCACTCACTAAGAAAGCTATACATGCCTCCCTTCCAGGTTTATTATTTAAACTATATGTATTTAGTAAAGTATCATTTGTTACTCTTATGGACAATACTAATATTGTACAATTTTTTTTTTGTAGCTGAATGGTGGATCAATTATGGTGAAGAAACTCTCCATCTGCAAAAAATTGCAATCAAAGTTTTAATCCAAACATGTTCATCATCAGGGTGTGAAAGAAATTGGAGTACATGGCCGCTGATCCATACAAAACTTTGCAACCGATTGACAATGAAAAAAATACATAAGCTAGTTTTTGTGTACTACAATATGCGATTGCGAGTTAAAAATTTGACATATCAACGTGAAAATGATGATTTTTATAATCCAATTGATCTGAACTACATTTTTAATGATGAAAATATATTAGATGAGTGGATAAGAGAAGGGGAGGAATCAATTTACCACCTGATAACTTAGGTTGGCAAGATGAAGGTATTCGTGACATTGAAGAAGGTGGAAGTGGATGAGATGTAGTTGATGAAGGTGACACTAATACGGCACCAACATCTAGAAACTATGCCACTACCAGAAGATCTGGAAAAGATACGAGGCCAACCAATAAGGGTAAAAAGGCTATGAGAATTTTTGTTAGTTCTAGTGATTCTTCTTTTGATGATGATAATGTTGCTGATACTTATGGTGGTGGTGGTGGTGGTGATAGTAATAGTACTGATGATGATGATGCTAGTAATCATGGTGGAGATAATGATGAGAGCAACAAGAGTGGTGGTGGAGCGACTACTGGAAATGGTGGTGATACTCAGCTACCTGACGGTATGTCATGGGCACAAGGGCAAGATAATTACTGTGCAACATAGGATACAGACCATGGATATAGAGCAGAGGCAATGAAACAACGGAGGAATTTAAACTCTTCCATTGGTGATGATTATTCTCATAGATGTCACCATCATTCACTTGGTCGACAAGATATTGATGATCATTGCAGAGTTTGGTATTGACATCATATGAAAGAAACATGCCTTACGGACATCATCAAAGTAGTGGTATAGAATTTAGCTATGCACATGGATCATATGGATATGGTATCCCTTCGCAGCTTCCGAGGTCTACTAGTACTAATAGTGCTGGGCATTATGATCATCGCCCTACGCATCTTGAAAGATCTACTAGTACTAGTACTGATAGTTACTATGATCGTGTTCCAAGGAAACATCATGATAGATCTTCTAACACGACATCGGATAGTGTCAACTTTTATGGATATGATTAGTCTTCTGCTAGTAGTGGTCGTGAATATTATGGTTTTGGGTATTATTAGTATGAGAACCAGTCAGTACAACCTCCACAGTCACACTACTCTGATTATGAATCATCTAGTCAACCAACTCAATCAGACCCGTATTCACACTTGTACTCTTATTCTTATGGTGTACAATACCCTAATTTGTATTATCCTAGAGACAATAACGACCATTTTGAGCTTCATCGTCGTTCAATGTGGCAATGATTATGGCTCAATATGTTCCTAAATGTCTACATTGAATATTTATAATGATAACTATTTTCGCTCGGGATTTTATGTTTCATTTTAATTATGTTTAATGTGTTTTTAGATATATTGTGGATATATGATGCATAAATGATAATGTCTATTTTTTTAGAATTTTCTATAATTTTTTCAAATTTTTTTGGAGCTTCTATCTTGCAGTTTGAGCGTATCGGCCGATACCACGCCGTGACACTGCGACCGATGAGTATCAGCACCCTCTAAGTTGATGGCCGATACTGCGACTTTGAACCATGCANTGGTGGTGATACTCAGCTACCTGACGGTATGTCATGGGCACAAGGGCAAGATAATTATTGTGCAACATAGGATACAGACCATGGATATAGACCAGAGGCAATGAAACAACGGAGGAATTTAAACTCTTCTATTGGTGATGATTATTCCCATAGATGCCACCATCATTCACTTGGTCGACAAGATATTGATGATCATTGCAGAGTTTGGTATTGACATCATATGAAAGAAACATGCCTTACGGACATCATCAAAGTAGTGGTATAGAATTTAGCTATGCACATAGATCATATGGATATGGTATCCCTTCGCAGCTTCCGAGGTCTACTAGTACTAATAGTGCTGGGCATTATGATCATCGCCCTACGCATCTTGAAAGATCTACTAGTACTAGTACTGATAGTTACTATGATCGTGTTCCAAGGAAACATCATGATAGATCTTCTAACACGACATCGGATAGTGTCAACTTTTATGGATATGATTAGTCTTCTGCTAGTAGTGGCCGTGAATATTATGGTTTTGGGTACTATTAGTATGAGAACCAGCCAGTACAACCTTCACAGTCACACTACTCTGATTATGAGTCATCTAGTCAACCAACTCAATCAGACCCGTATTCACACTTGTACTCTTATTCTTATGGTGGACAATACCCNTCAGTACAACCTCCACAGTCACACTACTCTGATTATGAATCATCTAGTCAACCAACTCAATCAGACCCGTATTCACACTTGTACTCTTATTCTTATGGTGTACAATACCCTAATTTGTATTATCCTAGAGACAATAACGACCATTTTGAGCTTCATCGTCGTTCAATGTGGCAATGATTATGGCTCAATATGTTCCTAAATGTCTACATTGAATATTTATAATGATAACTATTTTCGCTCGCAATTTTATGTTTCATTTTAATTATGTTTAATGTGTTTTTAGATGTATTGTGGATATATGATGCATAAATGATAATGTCTATTTTTTTAGAATTTTCTATAATTTTTTCAAATTTTTTTGGAATTTCTATCTTGCATTTTGAGCGTATCGGCCGATACCACGCCGTGACACTGTGACCGATGAGTATCAGCACCCTCTAAGTTGATGGCCGATACCGCGACTTTAAACCATGCTGTTGATTGAATGTTTTTTAAGCACAAGAAAAAAGAACTAAGAAGCCAATATACACCAGTTCTTGAATTCCACTTTCAGTTTTTCATAATCTTCTTGGTGAAATATGCATGTGCATCCAAATCAAAGCAGTAAATCAAACATAAAACAGAAACAAGACCAAGAATATGATCAGCACTGTAAATGAGGCGTTCAACCGATAAAAGCAAGATTACTAACCCATGAAATAGAACTTTTCCAAACCGGGCAACCAGGGCTGGCTTTACTTCTTCAAAGTTTTGAGTCTCTATCTCCTCCTTCACATGTTGGAAAGAGAAAAGTAGGCCTTTCAGCACATTTCTAGCAACAATAACCCACGGGCTGTCCAAGAATAACCCTTCACCTTCATTATTATCTACCATAAAAAAAATTTAAAAATCAATCACATGCCACTAAATTAACACACGGGCACAGATCATGCTGGGTATAAGATTCTCTACTAACGGATGACTCGACTGAAACTAACAAAACTTGAAAATGAGAGGGACCAATCATCCAGTAACCAAAATTATTCCATATACGTACAATGGTTATAGATAGATAAACACATAGATAAATAAAAACCTTTTTGAAGTTGATCGTCGAGCACTAAAGAGAGAGGTTTTTCTCCGAATTTCCGCCCAACGGCTTGCAAGGAAAATGGCTCGAGACGTGTAGCAGAAGGAAACTGGGAATGATCAGCCAATCCAACTGCGAACCATCTAGTGATTGCATCGTTCGCGTATACTATTTTACCCTTATCTTTTTTCCTTTCCTCATGAGATTTATTCCCAAATGGCCTTAGATTTCTCTTGAATTGAGGAACGAGTGATTCGGGTGTCGGGGATGGTTTCTCCGAGTCCTTGGAATGCCTTTTGTGTGGAGGAATGTAAGCCATACTGAGTAGCAAATGAGCAATTTACGTAGAACCAAAATGCCCCAAACGATTTGGGGAGAAAGGGAAAGGAGTTTAGTCGGTAAGTACACTCAAGAGTCAAGACTGAAGAAAGTGAAGTATCAAGAAAGAGAGTAATAATGGCCGTTTGATCAAAAAACACTAATAAAGGTCGTTTGGTTTCTTTAACGGAAGCTAGGCCGATTCAACTTCTATGCATTTTAGGTGAGAAAAGTTGGACCGAGTTTAGGTATATATATACTTAAATTAAAAATCATATTAAGTTTATAAAAATTATATTCTTATCGTTTGTATTACATTATAGAATTTTAAAAAATTTATCTGCTCTCAACAATTTGTTGTTCTAACTATAAAAAAAATAAAAATAAAAATAATTCATTTGATTAAGTTTCAAGTTATAATTCATTGAATAATAATAATAATTATCAATATACTAATCAATATTCATTTTTAAGGGTATCATATTCAATTAAAAAATTTCATAGATATTGATATTTATACATAAAGAATAGAGAATTAAAAGAGATGTTAAAGATAATTTGAAGATTTAAACACAAAGGATATGATGGCAATTTAACTATAGAAGGATAATATGACATTTAAAATTCTTTATAAGGGTAAAATAATGAATCAAAATTTTTTTATGTTAGGGTACTTTTATTAATATTATAGATAGATATAGATATAAATATGTAAATTTATATTTTTTTTGTATACAAGTGTTATTGCACGTGGATTATTTTTAATATCAAATATATTATTACTATAAAAAATTTGAAATAACGTCAACTGTACAAATAAACTCTGGTTAAACATTTTGTGTAATATCTTGTAAAACTCAAGTCATTGACAAACTTAGCCACATATTAACACGTAAAATTAGAGTTTCAATAATCTACTCAAAATTTAATATTTGTCATTTCTAAAAAGATAACAAACAAAGAGATATTTATATTATCATAAGCTTTAGACGGTCTACCTCAAAATTCACAATCATATTTTTGATGATAAAAACAAATAATTGGTGAACACTAATTGCTTCATTATTTATCGTACAACAAATATTAAATTACACTTCAAAAGAAATGTCTTATATGCTTCATGACCATCCTAGAAAAAAAATTACCCACAAAAATCTATAATAAACATACTAAAATTTGTTTTACCACATTTAAATGATAAATATATATATTGTCAAAAATTAGTATTTGATGCCTTATGTCCTAGAGCAATTCAAAAAACCTAGTCAAACCATGATCCACATGATAGAAAATCTTGTTTCAATTATTCAATGTAAGAGAAGAATTACATAATTTTTTCTACACACGAGATGTAATGCTAAATACGCAAAATGAGTTTCAGTGCTAAACAAAAAATGAACTTATTACCATGGAAATTAAACACATAGAAGGTATATGATTTATAATAAATAAATTTCAAGATCCCTATTTTCACAGTGACCTTCCACAATTAATCACGCTTGTTCATAAATACAAAATACTTAACAAATAAAAAAGAAAATTTTCAAAATGTTAGTGCAAGCCTACCTCTAAGTAAAACATAAATCATATGAAGAGAGCAATAACCTATAACCAGATAAAAAAACGTGAGTATGAGAGAGGAATAGAATAATATTACTATTTATTTATTATTGAAATTCATGGAATTTAATATTTGACTATTAGTTGTCCACGTAGCCATAAAATGGAAGATGAAATGATTCAAATTCCATTTGATCAATAAATATATTTATTGCCAGGAATTTGTACTGTCTGCAAAGTTACACAATAGTCCATATTAGATAAATGATAAAATCAATTTTATGATGGTTATGGATGGCATAATAGTTGTATTAATGATAATTTATTATTTTTCATAAAATAAAGATGATTAATGGATTTATTGTAAACAAAAAGTTTATGAGAAGTAAATGAAAGAGAGAAAGTGTCATTAACTCAGGAAATAAAAAAAAAGTATAATACAAGGAATAATAATTATTGTGAAAATAGAAGTATATGAATAGTCATTTGAATACAGAATTAATATTAGGTAATTAGAAAATAGAAAAAAAAGTATAATATATATATATATATAGTTATTTACTAATATTGATATATTGACTAGTAAGATATCATTTGTATGAATTGACATAAACATTAAATACATGTATATATATATATATATATATATATATATATAATATGCATAAAGTACAATAGTACTTTCTAAATTGAGATTGGCGGGAAAGTAAAATTTTTACTTCCCTCTAAAACTTTGAATTGGAGAGCAAAGACATGAATCTCACATTAGTTCTTGGATGTTCTTCATGGATTCATCTTTATCTATAAATAAAGGAAGGATTTCATTTTCCACTCAAGATCTCAAGGTATCCTTTTAAAGAGGAGGCCTACATAATGAGAATTTTAAGTTATAATTTTGTATATGTATGTATATTATATATAGTAGCGCGATCATGGAAGCTTCGAACTAAAGTTTCTTGTNATCACATGCCACTAAATTAACACACGGGCACAGATCATGCTGGGTATAAGATTCTCTACTAACGGATGACTCGACTGAAACTAACAAAACTTGAAAATGAGAGGGACCAATCATCCAATAACCAAAATTATTCCATATACGTACAATGGTTATAGATAGATAAACACATAGATAAATAAAAACCTTTTTGAAGTTGATCGTCGAGCACTAAAGAGAGAGGTTTTTCTCCGAATTTCCGCCCGACGGCTTGCAAGGAAAGTGGCTCGAGACGT